TTTTCTTGCAAATGTTTCATTACTTGGCTACGTTTGCAAGAAAACAACCAAGCTCAGAGAACCCCAAGGACTTACAGTTCAACCCTGAGCTACGTATATTCTCCTCTATTGGTGCTATAAACCTTTGTTAAAAAGATCCAAATAAGGTATGAATGAATCTGGATGGTGTTTTGGATGCACTTGAAGAATTTCCCATCTAATCTGTCTGCATATTACCAAAGTCCTGCCTGATCTGGAATACAGTGACGGCCTGAATAGTTTGTACTATAGCATCTAAATGCCCTCTTCTCTCTAGCAGGAGTCACTTGGCGTCTTAGTTTATTGGAGATCTGAGAACAATGAAGCAAATAGAGAGTGGAAGTACAAATAGAGGAACTATAGTGATCAATCAGTCAGAACCATAGAGTGGCTTTTTCAGGCCCATTTATCTTCTGATTTTTAGACTGTTGCACTCTTAAGACACTTGAAATACTGTCTGTACCAGCAAATGCCATAAGAAGGCACCTCTCTGCCTCCATTATGTCTGCACAGGACAGTCCTGTGATGCTTTTCCATATGGTGCTGCATCTCAATCAGGATCTTGGGGGAGAGAGCCAAATTTGGAAGCCTGCTCTGAGCAATTTTCATTTTTTTTTTTTTTTTTGCAGATAAAATCAGATTTGCTTCAGTTTGGGATCCACTATTGGGGCAAGTCATGTTCACATTGGTTCTTTTCAGCCTGTAGAACTTGAGGATATGGACAGGGTATGTGGAGAGATGAAAGCCATCACTTACTTGCTCATTCCTTGTCTTTTCTGGCAGAGTAAAACAGCCAGGTTCAGACAGACCTCACAATTAAAGGAGGTGATCAATTCTTCCTTGAGTGGGGGATGTGACCTGCATGCTAAAGGTATGCAGAAATCCTCATTTAATAAGCGCCCCCCCCCCGCCCTGGAAGATCTTTCTAGTTACAGGCCAATCTCAAATATTCTATTCTTGGATATGGTGTTGATAAAGTGATGACATAACTCCAGATGCATCATTTCTAGACCCATTTCAACAGTGTTTCTTCCAGGATACAATATTGAGACTGCTTTGGTCATCTGGATTAATGATCTATACCAGAGATCATAGCTGGGGGGAAGTGCAACCCTTCACTTCTCTTGGACCTCTTGACAGCTTTCAACCTTTTGGGCCTTCTAACAAGTTGGGCCTTGGGGACATGGTTTTGGATGGACACCAAACCTTATTTCAGAATGTGCCCAGAAGGTGGTGCTGGAGGAATATTGTTTGACCACTAGGTATTGACCTAGGGTATGCCATATGGTTCTCTCATCTCCTATGCTGTTTAACATCTATGTGAACCCTTTATGGGGAAATGCTACCAGGATGCCAGTGACACTCTATTCTTCTACCCCACTCTATTCTACCTGCCTCTTAACTCCAAAGGAACAATCAGTACCCTTGAATGTTGCCTCGATGAAGGGCTGGATGAGAGAGAAGCTGAAATTAAATTAAAAGGAGGTGCTTGGCTGGGGACTGAGGTGAAGCTTGTCCTAGGTGGGACTGCACTCTTCCAGAAAGAGCAGGTTCACAGTTTGGGACTGCTCCTGGATCCCCAACTGTTTCTGGATTTGCAAGTGGCAGCAAATTTTGCACAATTATGGTAGTGCACCAAGTGCAACACTTCCTGAGCTGCTTTGACTTAATGATAGTGATCCATGCCTCAGTTAAAACCCGTCTTGACTAGTTCAATGCACCTTTTGTGAGGTACCCTTGAAAGTAACTGGAAATTACAACTGGCTACTGACCTGAGCAAGATACAGGGATCATATGAATCCTATAGTGAATGATCTGGACTACTGCCCATTGCTCATAGGGCACAATTTAAGGTCTTGGTATTGACCTTTGAAGCTCTAAGTGGCTTAGGACCTCATTATTTGAGGGGTGCCTCTCTTGTTATGAATTTTCCTGCTTACATAGATCTGCTGGAACTCCTCTGAAGATGCCTCCCCACCCTGTCTGAACCATTGCTATGGCTATGTGGGGAAGGATCTCCTATGGCTCTCAAGTTATGGAATGTACTCCCTACTGAGCTAGGTTTGACTCCTACACTCCCAGCATTTAGGAGGATAGCCCAAAGCATCTCTTCTGCAAACTTTTCATTAATTGTTTCAATGATTGATTTTGATTTTTATTGAATTAATTTTGTTGCATTTATTTACACTTGTATTTTTTTTTAAATTGTGGCAAATCACCTGTAGGGTCAGTTTGGTGTAGTGGTTAAGGCATCAAGCTAGAAATCTGGGAGACCCTGAGTACTAGTCCCGCCTTAGGCACAAAACCAGCTGAGTGACCTTGGGCCAGCCACTCTCTCTCAGCCCTAGGAAGGAGGCAATGGCAAATTGCTTCTGAAATCTTGCCAAGGCACTTGCCAGGAGTCAAAAACTGACTGGAAGGCACCAGGAAAAAAAAAAAAAAACTTCCACAGAGGGTTGGAATACACATGAAATAAAATAATATGGTTGCTATCCATTGTTTTCTGCCCATTGCATTTCAGCTTAATAAGTTATTGTCTTGACTGAACTATACTTCATTCTACCCCATTAAGTGCAGCGGGGCAGTTCCCCCATGCCCTCCTTCCTAAAGAGACAGGCCCTGGCGTGGGCAACTGATGTCCTCATCAAAAGTGGCTTCCTTTGGGACACCCACCAGTAAACACCGTCGGAGGCCCCGCGCCTTTGTTTTGCCATTCCGTTTGCTTCCAATAAGCCGTCTGAAACTGCCGCCGTCTCCCTTCCGCCGGGAGCCTGGCGCTAAGATCGGCCAAACGCTCTCCGCCGAGCTTCTCCCACGCTCCCCGAAGGCGAGCCGGGACGCGCACGCCTGCGCTTCAGCCCCTTCCCGGCAGCGGGCGGCGTGGCCGCCTCCGAGCCCCAAAGGGAGGGGAGCGTCAGACAGGGACGCGCGCTGGGGGCTCCCTCCTGCCGCTTGCGTTGTTCGCCGACTTCTCTTCTCCTCCTCGCCTCCTCCGGGGAACTGGATTAGCTGCAGCGGCGACCCGGAGGTCCCTGTCGGCGTTCCGTTCCCAGTGCGCTGGGCTGGGCTGGGCTGGGCTGGGTGGAGGGCGCCTCCGAGAAGAGCCGGGGCCGCCCCGGTGCCTTCGCCTCTTGCATCTCTCCAACCTGCCGCTGCCGCCGGTGGCCGAGAGCGCCAGGGCTGTTCTTCTTCTCCTCTTTTTCTGTCTCTCTCTCTCTCTGTCTGTCTGTCTCTGTCTGTCTCTTCCATTCCCGAAATGGATTTATCTTTGAGGGTCCTCGTTTTATCCTGGCTTTATCTGGAGGCGTTGGGGGACTTTGACGGAAGGTAAGCAAAGACTTTGACCAGTTTTGTGGAAGGAAGGGGTTGGGGAGAAGAAAGAAAGGGTAACAGCCTGAAGGCACGCTTCTGTTCAGACCTGGCGGAGAATGAGAAATTCTCCAATTTGCTAAGGGAAGGGAGCAATTCACGACCTTGGCGCTGCCTTCTGTTTTCCCCACTAACATCTGAATGGCTCAGAGAGGGCAGAAAACCTGTTGGAGGTGGAATCAGGCTGCACTCCCTTCTCTTTGCACAGGATCCAGAGTATGCTCCGTACAAAAGCTGGCACTTTGCACTTACAAAGTACAACTGTGGAAGTTTGCACTTACTTGAGGAAGCAGAGCTGTGTGGCATCAGTGACGGAGGCACCTGTATAGATCCCAATAAGAATCCACAGAGTTTGTGAGACCCTAAGAAACCCTAAATGAGTAGAGAAATGAAAGACGGTGTTTTATTTTATTCTCCTTTTCTTCATAATAAGACCTAGCCTTCAGGTGCAGAAAGCAGTTCATATGCCTATGATTAGCACACACTTCCCTAGAGGAACCATTTGATCAAATGCATGACTTAATAATACATCTCTTTAAAGGTCCCGGAAGACTCCTGTTTGCTATTTGGGATTTTTGGTTTTGGTTTGTTTTTCACTAATTTAAGGCTGTCCCTCTGGAAATCATAAAACTGGAATTGTTACAAGGATTCCAGCAATCCTTCGAGGATAGTCAGTCTCAAATTCCAAACACAGGGGAACAAGCCACTTTGTGAATGGGAGAATTATTCAGCGCAAGATTTCCTGATTTGTAGTTCTGGCTCTTAGCCGCTGCACCACACTGATTCTCTCTGAGGGGGGAAGCATCTGCTTCTAAACTAGGAAGGCTCGCAGCTGGGATCTAGGCATTTGTTTGAAAGTAATGCCATCCCTATTCAATGGAACTTATCCCTAATTAAGTGTGAATAGCTGTGAATCCCAATCTGAATTGATTATGCTTTAACACAGGAAGCTGCAGTAGTCCAAAACAGATCATTGGACAGTTAATTATATTCGGCGTCTAAATCAGTGTTTCTCAACCTTGGGAACTTTAAGATGTGTGGATTTCAACTCCCAGAATTTCCCAGCCAGCATGCTGGCTGGGGAATTCTGGGAGTTGAAGTCCATACATCTTAAAGTTCCTAAGGTTGAGGAACACTGGTCTAAACTGACTGATAGCAACCCTCTATTATTAGGTAGTCCCACTTGAGGATGTCAGGCCTTAAGTGTACAATCTTCTGTGTGCAACCCATCAAGTTTAATCTTTTACTTTAAACGCTCCTGCCAGTAACAGAGACCAGTAGCACAGTAGATTTTTGCTAGAGTTGGGGTTTTTTAGTACGGTAATGTAGATGCAAAGAGTCTGCATTTGAATGTGCAGGGAGAATATTACCAAACAACAGAGGGATAGTATCAAGATCAAGGGTTAGTACCACTCTACACCACATGGTGAGGCCACACTTGGAATACTGCATCCAGTTCTGGTCACCACAATAGAAAAAAGATGCTGAGGCCCTAGAAAGAGTGCAGAGAAGAGCAACAAAGATGATAAGGGGGCTGGAGGCTAAATCCTATGAAGAATGCTAAAGGAACTAGATATGTTTAGCTTAATGAAGAGAAGACTGAAGGGAGACACGATAGCAGTCTTCCAATACTTGAAGGGCTGCCACAGGGAAGAGGGTGTTGATTTATTCTCCATAGCACCCGTGGAAAGGACAAGAAGCAATGGGTGGAAGCTCGTCAGAGGGAAATCCAACCTGGAAATAAGGAGGAATTTCCTGACAGAACTATTAAGCAGTGGAACAGCTCGCCTCCCGATGTTGTGGGTGCTCCATCGCTGGAGGTTTTCAAGAAAAGATGGACAACCGTTTGTCCGAGATGGTATGAGGACTCTTGCCTTGGGCAGGGGGTTGGACTAGACGACCTCCAAGGTCCCTTCCAACCTTATGATTCTATGAAAATTGTTCTAGTTTAATTGACATGCTACTTAGAGCTGTGCTATTGCATCTGTAGAGCTGGTAAGCATAACATATGATTATATTCTATGGATATTAATCGTATTCTATTACCTGTGCTTTGTGGAAATAACATGTTCACAAAAGGTAAATATGGAAGAAAGAGCTTTAATATAAAATACTTTAATTGCTGAAGTGGTTGTTTCCCCATTGTTCATACATAATTATATGGATTGTCATAACCAAGTAACTGCAACCTCCAAAACTTATGTTTAGCATTTGTGTAGCTTCAGTGTTTGTGGGTGACACAAGGAAGGAATGCCTATCTCCTGTCGGATAAATTGTGCTGCTGACAATACACCAGGGAATATTTGTAATCCTATAAAACTTTCTTTCTTTCTTTCTTTCTTTCTTTCTTTCTTTCTTTCTTTCTTTCTTTCTTTCTTTCTTTCTTTCTTTCT